TGAGCAGTGTTTAATTTCTTTAAGTTTTTACCTATGGTGTATTTTATTGAAAAATTCGCTATAATTTATGTATTTTTAAAATTTTACTACTTTTTTTTTTCAAATGTTACATAAGTCTGGATTTTTCTGGTTCGATTTCATGTCAGCACTTGAATTTGAGTTTGATCTGGTTTAGGTTTATGATATTTTTGTAAAACTTCAAACTTCTTCTTCATTTTATTTTGGTTCTTAGGACTTTTTTGTCACTGTTTCTTTTATGATATAATTTTCTATTTTTTAAAATTGTTTTTTCGATTATATGTTTGAAATTCTTAAAACTAACATTTTTATATTTTAATTAAGATTGATACTTAAAAACAATATAATAAATTTATGTTCATGATATGAAAGAGAAGACAAAGAGGGATGAAAAGATTAGGTAAATTGGGGGAGAGGGAGATGAAGACAAGTGGAACAACATCACAAACATACCATTCATCGCATTGAGTTTTTTGCTATTGCATTTGCGTGTCATGTTTGAATCTTTGGTCCCACTTATGATAACCAAAAATTAATAATTTATATTATTTTCGAATAATAATAACAGAGAGTAAGATTTTGAGTTTGATTGATGATTCAACCTAATAACAGAGAGCAACGGGTCATGCATTCTTAATGAATGATAATACTTTAGGAACACAACTATGTTCTCAAAATATCTATTTTTCCATTTAGATTGGTGATTCAAATCTCCACCTTACAAAATTGAATTTTAAAAAAAATAAGAGAGGTTACTAGATTTGTGTGGTGGAAAACCTAGAATTTTTGTTACAATTGTTTACCAAATGAAATATATAAATTTATGTTTCTGTATTGTGTGTTTTATTTGTGAGTGTAGACGTAAGATTCAAATCTTATTTTGGTTCATGATGAACTTTTATACTTATTTTCTCCCGGTCTAATCTTAATTTTCAAATGTTATTTTAGCCCTTAATTTCTTTTATTTCATTTTAAGATTTTTTTTTTTGTTGAATTGATCCATTTGAAAATAATTAGGCATCGACAAATTTCTCAAAGATTGGCGTTCTTTATTCTTATTCAACGACAAACGTATGAATAGTTCCTTGATTTTGACTAAGGAATTGTTGAACCATTGCCATAGAATAAAATGGATTGATATTAGTGCGATCTGACTCATTACTAAAGATCAATCCTGAATCTGATGGATGGTTCATTTTTTATATATGAAATATGATCGTTTTGTGAGCGAGTAATAAGAAAAAGAAAGAAAAAAGCTTCTTTCAAATGATTTATTTCAATGTCTTAACTTAGCATAAAATATTACCATAATTCTTATTGTTAATTTTCATTAATTGCTTAACAAAAATTTTGTACCCATTTTGAAATGTGACACCTTATATCTAATGTACTATGACAAATACTTGTTCATCACGTAAATGAACAAAACATATACCTATATAAGGTTTTCGTTAAATTAATTTATAAAAAAATTAATAGTAAAAACTAAAATAGCTTGCTTTAGGCAACGTCAAGTGTTTAAAACGTATATAATATAAAAATTTAGAAATAAGAAAAAAAAAAGATCGAAAGTTTAATGATTCAGTACAATATAGTGTATAGTAGAGAACAAAGTAGCCAACCTATTTTGAAAACCTATATTTATATTGTCCATACAGATTACAAAACTTATAGTTTGAGATAGGTAAATTTAAATACCAAAAACCATATCACACCTAGAAACTTTACAAAAAAGCCAACATATTAATGAAAATTAATTCTATGTCCACATCTACAGCTCATTAGAATTCATCTTAACAGCTATAGAAGAGCTTGCTTCATCCTGTTGAGTGGCCCCTTCCAAGCCCACCCATTGTATCATCATACATCTTCATCACCATTAATGATATATGAAGCCATGTCTCCAAGAGTCCTACAATGCAGTTTGGTAAATGGTAAGAAATTATTAAATTCAATGCAAAAAAAAATATTGATTTTGAATCAACCAACACAGCTCAACGGTAATTGACATATATCTCAAACAAACAAGTTGTGAGTTCGATCTTCTACCCTACATGTTGTACTAAAAAAACTACCTAACGGAGATAAACAAAAAAAAATAAAAATTCGTAGTATAGAAAGAGGACAAACTTTATCATGCTTCTTTATTATTAAAAAAAAAAAAAAAAACTTTAACATGCTTCCACATAGATAGTCTACACTAGAGGGGTAAATTTGTAATCTCGTAAGTAGGGGTGACAAAAGAGTCTGGTTGGGCCTCTGTTATGGGCCGAGGGCCCGTTTGGGTTTTGAGTAAAAATATATGGCCCAAACTAACTCCTGGGTTGGTCATTCAAAATTTTGAAGGGCCATGCATGTCGGACCGAAATATATTTCTGAACTATTATGTACTTTATCAAAATTTAAAATTACAAAACATATAATAATATTATATATCTAATTAATCTACCAATTTATTGATAATACATTGAAATTAATATAAATACGTTTAAAATATTATTTTAGAGCAAAAAGATTTCATTGTATAAACTTATCTACTGATTTAGTATTTATTAAAAAAATATTGAATTTGATTGATTTCCAAAATCCAAATGGAACCACTATGAAAGTTATTGTTTGCTCAAAAAAGAAAAAGGAAAACGAGAAATTTTTAGTAGAATGAATTTGGTCTGATTTGAAACCGTCCCCATCATGTATTATTTTAAATATCTAAATATACAAATGTCTAAGTCTTAATTTTAATGCATATAGATTGAAATAATCGATAGTCGACAGTATTTTTGAAAAAAATTATAAAAAATTGTAAAAACTATTTAAATTAATAAATAAATATTTCATAATTTTAAATAAATTTCAAATAATTAATATTAATATTGTGTGTTTTTTTAATAATATTATAGAAATGTCAAACTCATGGATATGAATAGAAATGTCGTAGCTCAAATCTGAACCGCTGTGGTCGGTTCAACTGAATGTCAAACCGAACCGGTGTTGTCCTGCACGTGCCTCATAAATATCCATCATCGTCTTCTTCCAAACCCCTTTTCGAAACCCTAGGTTTCGATTACAGTCGGTGGTTGTTGCCGCTCTATTTTGGCGTTCCGCCATTTATACTCCAATCCTTCAGTTTTTTTATGCTTAAAGTTTAGAGTTACTGGTCTCTCCATCCCAATTCACCGCTGTATTTGCTGAATTATCAGCTGCTTCTGAAAGACCATAACCTATTCAGTAGTTTAGTAGTTAAAGATGACGAAGAAGAAGGAAAAGAAGGTAAATGTCTCTGGGAAACCGAAGCATTCACTGGACGTCAACCGAAGCGATGCGAACAAGAATTCGCGTAGCGCTGCCACTGTGCGGCGCCTCAAGATGTATAATACGAGGCCGAAGCGTGATCGGAAAGGGAAGGTGTTGAAGAATGAGCTTCAGTCGAAGGAGTTACCTGACACGCGGATTCAGCCTGATCGCCGCTGGTTCGGTATGTTGCATTATATCAAATGGGGTTCCACGTGCATGCGTCATTTATTTTCTTGCTTTTATGTTTGAATTGCTGGGTTCTTCTCGGTATCTTTCTCATCCCTGCGTGATAAAAGGGTGGATTAGTCTGAATTAGTACTTGTTTTTACAGTTTTATTTTTTGTGGGTTTGTTAACGGTGAGGGAGCATGATATATATTGTTCTTTGTTGAGGTTGTAGGAAGAAGAGTGAACGTCAGCTTGGAGCCTAAGGTTTCCGTTTTAGCTGATTAGGAGAAGCCTAGAGTAATAAGAATTGTCAAATCATGAATGCCTACCTCTCTCCTTTTTCGTTATTAAACAACTTGTATTCTTAGAACTATCATGCTGTATGTTGACAAAATTTTCTGAGAGGAAGCATAATGATGTTTATTTCTTGAATTGATAGGGAATACTCGAGTTGTGAACCAGAAAGAGCTTGAATTTTTCCGCGAAGAGCTTCAAAAACGGATGTCATGTAGCTATAATGTGATTTTGAAGGAAAAGAAGCTCCCCCTGTCCTTGTTGAATGATCATCAGAAGGTAGAAGATAAATTTTTTTTTTTTTACATCTCGTTGATTTGAAGAGTTTTTACATTAATTTTCAAGGTGAGGTGCTCATGTATTAGTGTGTTTACCTCTGCTGCCAATGTTCTCAGCTCTTGTACTGCATATGTTTTTCAAGAGTAAGATTATCTTTTAGATGAAGAAAAGTTGTCCACTGAATATGTTTAGGTTGTTATCTCTCACTTTTCCGATCTGGCCTTACTCATTTATTCATATAGATGTAGCTTTGAAGGTTCTATGACGTGCTTGCTTATGTTAAGATAATAATCCAATGTGATACCTTAGTTAAAAGGGAATTCTTTTGTAAACTAAGGAAGTAGAAAATGTCCAACTTCGATCTGCTAATATGGTACTTTGATCTCTGAAGCAATCTAGAGTCCATCTTCTCGATACAGAACCTTTTGAGGATGCATTTGGGCCAAAGGGGAAGAGAAAGCGACCAAAGCTTTTGGCTGCTGACTATGAGTCACTACTTAAGAAAGCTGATAAGTCTCATGGTATGATATATTTGATTCAGTCTCTTGAATTTGCAGATTTGGGTAAACACATGTTTTTTTCTAGGATTTTAAAGAATAGTTGTCAATAACTGTGGTGTTCTTTTTTATAAGGCATATATGATAATGCTGCTGCCTGCTCTCAATAAATGTTTTTCATTTCTCATGGAATTTTTGTAGTTGTCACCCACATATGTCAAGAGTGCTGTTCTCAATATTGCATATTCTGTATTCTTTAGATGCCTTTGAGGAAAATCATGCTGATAATGCAACTGCAGAGGGAAGTGAAGGTGATGGATTTAGAGACCTAGTTCGACATAATATGTTTGAGAAGGGTCAAAGTAAACGTATATGGGGTGAGCTCTACAAAGTAATTGATTCTTCAGATGTTGTTGTCCAGGTTCGTCGTAGTTATTAATCTCTTCCCCAATTTGACGACAGCATTCACATGGGACATTTCCTATTCTGATTTATATATTTTTTTTCCCAATAGTTTATGGCATGTAAAAGCTAGTATCTACCTAAAGGTTATTTACCTTATTTCTAGTGGTTTTATTATTATTATTATTATTATTATTATTATTATTATTATTATTATAAAAAAAAAGGTATCTATTTACGTTAGTTCTAGATTTTTAGAAAAAAGTTGTCTTATAGTAGTTTGCACAGCCTTGTATTTTATTTCATGCTTCTCAATGAAAGGTTGTTTCTCATTAAAAAAAAGTTTTCACAGCCACACATTATGAATGTGGCTTTCTATTATCATTTATGTGTTAATTCTTTTTATTGTTTTCGATGTCAAACTTGTGGTTTGTTTTCCCTCAACTAAATGTGGGGCGCCCTAATTCCTTGTATATCCGTTTGACTTCTCTTCTGATTATTTGTCATTGTTCCAGGTTCTAGATGCAAGGGACCCTCAAGGAACAAGATGTTACCATTTAGAGAGACATTTGAAAGAGCATTGCAAGCATAAACACGTGGTTCTTCTGTTAAATAAGGTTTCACCACATCCTTTTTAATTGGATTTTAATGTTATCTGAGATACCTAGTTATGGACTTTTTGAAAATTTTTGTAAGGCTGATTGAGACATGTTAACAAATGGCATTGTCAGTGTGATTTGATTCCTGCTTGGGCAACAAAGGGATGGCTTAGAGTGTTATCAAAAGAATATCCAACTCTAGCATTTCATGCAAGCGTCAACAAATCCTTTGGAAAGGTAACTCTACCATTATTATGTGACTCAATAAGTTATTTACGTGTATTGTTTTTAATCAAAAAGGATTTTAACTCCTAAAATGCTGTTACTCATAAATATTGCCAATTTTTTAATATTTCATTTTTAGTTGAGAGCCAGACATGATAGATTTATGTCGTCCCTAACCAAATTTGAGGCTTCAGGTGCCTTTTTCTAAAACCTCTTTCATCCCATATCCTGTGTTGGAAGGTGAAAGGTTTATAATTTATACTCCTATGAGATTGTTTCTTATAATTTGAGTTTTACATTCCTAGAGTGTACGTTTTTCTTCCGATACTGGAGACCAGGATATTTTAGATGTGTTCTGACCATATTGGTATAATATTCGGTCTTTTACTCCCATAAAATAACATTGTGTACCATCTGAAGCTTTGTGTCTTATGCTCCTTCTTGTTGGTCAATGCTATCTTGATGTTTAGACGATATTGGTTTATCAGGAAAATCAAAAAAAAAAAAAAAATGGGGGATCATTTGATATATCACACTTTAGGAATTATAGGATAAGCATCATCTTTGACTTCATTTCTAAGACCCTTTTTTGTTGTTCTTAGGGTTCTCTCCTATCTGTGCTGAGACAATTTGCTCGCTTGAAAAGTGACAAGCAAGCTATCTCCGTGGGATTTGTTGGGTATCCCAATGTTGGAAAGTCATCTGTAATTAACACATTACGGACTAAGAATGTAAGTTTCTATTTTTCTCTAATGCTGACAATGTTATTATATTGATACCAAAAATTTATCGTTTAATTTGTTCTACATTCATTTGGTGGTATGCCTGAATTATGAATGGAGAAACTGCAGTTGTTATTTAGCATCCAAAAGGGTCTATTGTTAGCTTTCAGAACAATCAAGGCAAATTTTGGATGCCTCAAATCATAATATGCTAACATTTATGAGTTGTTTATTCTGATCCAGATTACTTCCTGTTTTTGTCTGGATCTCTGTTAGGTTAGCATGTTTTCTGGGGAACTTTATTCTTCATATGAATGCTTTTGAGCGTATGGCTTGCTTTGTAGTGTACAATCTTTTGATAATTTTCACTCAGTGGATCACCAGAGTGATGGACCACCAATTAGATTCACATATGTACGTACAATAAGAGAAATTCTTAATATATGAGCACAGAGTTGGAAGGAGAATTTCTGGAAATCCGAAGGGGGTGGAGGTAACCAGTCTGATACCCAGTTTTTTTGTTAAGCCTAGTTCAGGTAGCAGCCAATCGAGCTAAATACAAGGCTTAGCTAAATATAAATGTAAATGCTAGAGGAGTTAGTCACGTGAATATTAGATTGGAGACTGAGGTGGCAGAGTCTAAAATTTTGCTTCTTTGACTTTTCTTTCTTATCAATGAAACTACCGAGGGGAACATTCTCCTGAATTCAGATTTCTTAACCTATCAAAGAGCTTGTGTGCAAAATAGTGTATTTTGATTGCAGTGTCTTACCTTTTGCTTTTAGATGGTAATTAGAGCTTTCAGCTGCTTGAAGCTGTTCCATCTTTTGGCCATCTGCCTTCCATAATAGTTTTGTCATTGTTGCTGTGACAAAGAAGGAAATTCAGGATGTTAAAATTCCCAAACCTAAAGTCACTCAGTTTTTATTCTTATATTGTTCTTGATTTATAGAAGTGTAAAAAAAGATATATTTTAAGGTTTTCTAAAGACGGGAAGCTTTTGATGTGAAAGATGAAAAGTTTATGTACAAGTATATCCCGACCCTGATGTTAAAAGAACAATAAAGAGCTCCAATCTGGTGGAAATAGGAAAAGAATTGGGACCTGTTAATTAAAATTTGAACTTCTTGTCCTCTGTTGCTTTGCTTGTAGTAGTAACACTTAGGTGAATCCCTTACGGTCCATTCTTCTGGCACTTATAATCAATCCCCTACAGTTTGTTCTCTTTTTTATCTGACTTTGCCCTTTTTCTTATTAGGTATGCAAAGTCGCACCAATTCCTGGGGAAACTAAAGTGTGGCAATATATAACTCTCACAAAGAGGATTTTCCTGATTGACTGCCCGGGTGTTGTTTATCAAAATAGTGACTCTGAAACAGATATTGTTCTTAAGGGCGTGGTATGTGTTCTCTCTTTTTCATTTTCTTTGCTAACTGGTGTCTATTGTTACCATATATGAGCATGAGCTTTCAATTAATGGATATTGCAATTACCATTTTGCCAGCTTGTTATTATTATTTTTTTCATTCAATATTATTGTCTGAGTATTTGGTATTTGGCCACTTCTCTAGGTACGAGTTACAAAT